CCCCCCCGCAAAAAAAAAAAAAAAACTCCAACCGCAAGAACGCTGATCACTGACAAGCGGCGCATCCAAATGTTCGAGAGAGCCCAGGAAGTATTGGAGACCGACTACACTCATCACCTTTGTGCGTCGAGCTGGGATTTGGGGTCCCAAACGGTAAACGTTTGCTCTCTGAACCCTGCATACTCAAGCGTCAATCCTGAACCGCATGCCACGCATGCCTTTGAGCCCTGAACCTTTTTCAAGGCTTTGAAACTAACAGGGTGTCGAGTTGAAGGTTTTTCGAGGGCTTTCGGCTTCCAAACCTGGAGGTCGATAGAGCATGTTTGGGGTTCAGCGTTTCCGTTTTAGGGCTACACCGAGCCTCATCCCCAAAACTGTGAGGGTGTGGTGGTCAGTTGAGCAGCTGGGGAGGCTGAGAGTGCTTTGTTCTTTAGGATTGTGCTATGGGATTCTAGATTTAGGGTTTAGGGTTTAGGGTTTTTTCTAGGCACGGGCTTGGGGTTTAGGCTTATAGGATTTGGTTAGGGCTTTGGGGTTCGAGATTTCTAGATTTAGGCGATGATATCCAAAAGGCAGGAATACTAAAGCCTGCGGCTTTCACCCTCAGCACGAGGGCTGTGGCTGCCGGCCCGAGAAAACGGCCTGAAAACTCACTTTACAGTAGAATCATCATCTACGCGGCCTTGGGAGACATATGCCAGGGATCTCAACAATCCTCAACTAAATTAAAGAACATGCCTCCTGCAACGGTTAACTTGAGGTATGAGGCAGCGCCTTCCTGATTAATTATGAGCAGAAACACAAACCCAGCATGAAACACCCTGAGACTATGAAAGTGATCAACTCGATTCTCCGTGTGACCATATGTCTTACGGTTGAGGAAACTGATGGCTCAAACCCATGGCACCTAGGCATTCAGCAGTCAAAAAGATTACAGATTCACTCCGAAAGAATCAGACGGCAGTAAAACATGGATCCGTGCCTGCAAATTCAGGAACCTAAAACAACATCCCATGCTAAATCACGCCTAAACAAGAACAACAACATCACAAGGTGGCAAGCTCTTGGCAGGGTGCTTTCCTGTTGCCGCATTCTGCAACCCGAAACACCCTAAACCCTAAACCAAACAAACAGCACCGGAGTTGCGAATGATAGCGGGCGACTCGTGGCTCCAGCCTAGAGCATCCCTGAATCCGAAATCCTCAGTACCCACTAAGGCCTTATGAAGGGTTTATAGGGTTTGGGGTAAGTGCTCGCAGACACCCTCGCAACAACTTGCAGAATGCTCAAAAACTCCCGTAAACCACCAAGCCACACCCCCTGCCAGCTCTTCCGTGAAGGTGAGGGTCACCATACAAACAGAGGCTTTGAAGCCCACGGTTTTATACAGCGCCCAGACGATGGAAGCCTGCAAGAATAATTAGGATTAGGGACTTGGAGTATTTAAAGCTTATAGCTGCACCAAGGATTAGAGCTGAGGGTGTGGGGGTTTGGGGCCTCTTGCAGATCGAGGGACTAGGGTGTTTAGGGCAACGGCGTTGCTCGGGATTGAGGCTCTTGCTAGTGTTACTAGACTTTAACACTGCTGCTGTTGTAGGTTCAAGCTACTTGAACCCCAAGCCCTAAACCCTAAGCCGGTTTGCAAATCAGCCGCCTACGTTTCTGTAGGGGCCATAATAAATTCCATACTGGGGTTTATAATACGGACCTACACAAAAAAAAGGTAGGTTATAGTAGTTTAAGGGCACAAGCCCCAGAAGCCCAAACCCGCCTTCTCGACGCTCCCGGCGCGGGCGACCTGGCAGTGAAAATTGGGCGGGCATGCACGAAAGATATTGGTGAGAATGTTGAGTCCGATTTTTTCAAGGTCTACCAGTTTGGATTTCACGCTTCCTGGGTTTGGCAGTAGTGATTCTCAGAGAGCCCAATACCGCGTAACCAAGGAATACACCTAAAATCCTGGGTTCAGCCCCAGGACTTCAACTTCCCCTAAACCGAATTACAGTGGGACACTAAACCCAAACTTGAAACCCCAAGCCCTGCATGCCCCGAACCCAAGACCCCAGATGCCTAAACCCTAAACCCCAGCAACTACGATACCTCACCTCGTCCTCCCAATGCTTTCGGAAGCGGATGTACGGCACAAAAGCATCGTCCTGAGCTGTGCTTGCGATTCTCGTGCGGTTGAAGGGTTTAGGGCTGAGCTGAAACTTCTACATGTAGGGTAGCCTCGGGCAAAGAACGATGTGATATGCTGCTGTTGCCACGAGGGTCCTAATTAGCATCTTCCGCTGTCTTCCCAGGGTAGTTGAAGGGCCTCCTCGTCCACACCCGAAACCCCATGTCCTTGAACGCTTCGCCCCTGAACCTGAATGCCCTTTTCCCGAATGCCATTGCGCCCGAGCCGCCCGGCGATTGCATACAATCTCCTTGGCTGCAGAAGTCGGTGCTTACATCTTCTGGGTTATTGTGCATGGATGTCTTTTCAGTTATTCGGGGAGCATACAACAGATGTGCTGACACAAACATATACATTAATACAAAAAATACTAAAGCAAAGACATGAACGAATAAGCAAATCAATAAACTGGCAGAGCATGCACTTGTCTAGTGCTGGTACCTGCAGCTAAGCCCAGGCACAGTTCCGGGCAGCTTAGAAATGCGTGGTCCAAAACGAGAAACCCCGAGAGTCTAGCCGAGTCAAGCCGAAATCCGATTCACTCTACCCATAGGCCCCATAGTAGTTCCTTTCGGGGGGGTACCTTATAAATAGGATTCTATATATGAACCCCAAAAAGGAAGCACTTTAGGGCCTATGGGTAAGCACCTCAAGGAGTTCAAGCCGAAAGCCGGCTTAAAGGAAACCGCCGGGCAGCGACCGAAACCAAACCCCCAGGGCAAAAAACGCGATAAACATCTTGGGCTCCAGACACGCACTCGAGGGCTCTTGGGGTTCTACAGGAAACTGGTCTTTGGGTGAATTGGAATAGAGCTTCGGTATGCTCTAGTGTCTATCATCGTATAGTATCCTGTAATCCACTAGGGAACGCTAGAATGCAAGACAGTGGTTATTCAAACCCTAAACCCGAAACCGTTAAGACTGCCGAGCTTCGTTATCATCGATCACGGAGTTCCAGTGCTTGCCATATCCTGGGATCAGCACCGAGCCCATGTGATGCTAAGTGCCTATATGGGAGATGCTTGCCCAAACCAGAATAGCGACTCCTATTATAGAAACCCCTATAACTTTCCAGTAAATGTAGGTGCTTCAGACCCTTTGAAGCTGGGCATGAACATGCCAATAGTAAACTGACTCCCTCAACCCTCTTGCAGCAGCCCTAAACACTGAACCCTAAACCCTAAACTCTAAAACCCTGAATACCCTATAACCCTAAAGACCCTAGACCCTAAACCCTAAACCCTGAACCCTGAACCCTACACCCTAAAACTGACTTTACCGCCGTTTCCAAACTTTCCAATTGGGCAGCAGCCTGGAGATCCCTACGTGGAACGGTAGTTTTCCAAATTGGGGTCCCTTTTAGGGTCCTTACTATAAGGGTGCCGTACTATAATGGTGACCTAAAGCGTAAACCGAATTGAGAGAATTACCCACGTAGAAGGCACCATAAGACAAAATGCCAACAAAGGACGACAGAAGTACCAAAAGCGAACCTTTCCCCCTACTGACTAACCCTGAACCCTTTGACCCTTACAGGTTACGTTAAAGGCAGGTGTCTGCCTACCAGCTCATCCACCCAGCCCAAGCTGACGTAGTTCATGAAGCCTTTCTCATAGGCCTCCGCGTGTGTTGGAAGTCAGGGCTACAGGGCTTGGGCGGTACGATGTCTCGCCCTGCATCTAAAACCTTGGTATGAGGATCTCGAACCCTGTCGATGTAGGCAGAAGGTGTGCTACCTAAACCATAAACCCTGAACCAGAAGTTTGTGCTAGGACTGCTAGGCGTTCCGGGGCTGGGTGGGCAGCAATAAAGACTTGACTACAAGACTGGTAAGGCCCAACACCGAAAGTCGCAAACCCCCAAACCACTCGCACTTTCCGACCGCTCGCCCTTAATCGCTTAGTTACGGAAAAAAAACTCCCAATATCCCTTAGTTACGGAAAAACCCCTAAACCCTAAACTCTGAACCCTAAACCATAGCTGTAAGACTCAGCATCAGTCCCGGGGATCCCTTAGCGGACGATTTAGGGTTTAGGGTTTAGGGTTTAGGGTTTAGGGTTTAGGGTTTAGGGTAGCGTTAAAGTTGTTGTTGGAGTTTTGCGTCCAGAAAGGGGTTTAGGGTCTTTTTGGCTTCCTGGTTTGGGGTTCAGGGTTTAGGTTTCCTTCGTTCTAAGCCCTAAAGGCCCTAAACCCTTAAGGCCCTAAGCCCGAAACCCTAAAGGCCCTCAACCCTAAGAACCTAAACCCTAAACCCAAAAAACCTAAACCCCTGGCTTCGGCCTACGGCCGACTTCTTAGAACTTCGGAGACTTCGGAGCCTTCTCGTCGTCGGCAAGTCCCATCTTCACCGTGTCCGCGGCTCGCTTCCTTGGGACGATCGCCACGGCGTAGATCGACCTCAGCACGTCTGGGACCCTAAACCCTAAACCCTATAAACCCTAAGCCCTATAGACCCTATAAGCCCTATAAGCCCTATAAGCCTTATAAGCCCTATAAACCCTATAAGCCCTATAAGCCCTAAACCCTTCAATTTGAGCCGGTGGGCAACGACCAGGGCTCCTGGTTGGTGCTCCGTTTGCTTATGCAGTGCTGAAGGCTGACTTAACTGGCACTTTCGGTCTTTCGGCCCGACTGGCTGCTTAAGCAATGATACTAGCGAGACCTGACCCCTACACCCTAAGCCCTAAACTCTCGAGTCTCTAGAAATCGACCCATGGTCTTGATCTATGTCGAGACAATGCTATAAGTCCGGGACCAAACGATGCCCGCCAGCACGAAGGATGCCCAAATACAGGTGATCTTCCAGGCCAGTCGGTTCTCATGTTCGATGCTGGCTCCTGGAATCCGGGGTTTAGGGTTTAGGGTCTGGAAAGCTCCAAAACCCACGGCACCACTCCAACCTCACGCGTTGAACCTGGGAGCTAGGATTAGCGGACCCTTGACGATATCGACCCTCTCAATAAGGTCCCTTTTAAGAGAGGCAGAAGTAGAGCTAAGAAGGGTCCCGTGTAAGGGGGCCTCCCTAATACTTCCAAGGAGACCCTTGAGCCTGCACTACTCCAATCCAGGTTCAAGCAGGGACGCTTCTGGACTGTGAAGCTGTTTGGGGTTTAGGGTTTAGTCTTGAGATACTTCCCAGACCTCTGTGTGGATCCCCCCAAAATAGATCCCTTAACTAAGGCGGCTCCTATAACGAAGCCTTTGTAGCATCGCTTCCCCAATCCGGGCTTCTACTTTGTAGATCCTCCCAAAACCCTAAGCCCTGAACCGATTCCAGAGGCGACGGTCCTTGCGAGAGAAGCTCCGTCAGCATCTTGATCTGGTTGAGCCCACAGTGGGGAAGCTTATGGACAAAACCTCGGCGACAAAGGAGTGCATATATAGCGGCCTTAAGAACTAGAGTAGGATTTTAGCAGGGTTCACTATAGTATAACTATAGTATACATGAGCATAAAAACGAAGGAGTATGCAGGGATGCAAGGGGACTATTGCTGACTGCTAAATTCGCTCCTGCATTGCTGCTGCTGCTGCTGCTGCTGCTGCTGCTGCTGCTGCTGCTGCTGCTGCTGCTGCTGCATTCCTACGATTATATGGCTGTATCTATCTATCTAAGCAGCAACCAATTCCAGGCTCTGCACACAATCAGATCCCTGGGCTTGATGTTTCTCAACAGAAGCCTTTAAAACAAGCAGCGTAGAATCCACCTTCAACAACCTTACACCAAATACCCTAAACCTGAAACTCAGAGCCCTAAACCCTTGCAGCTCCGGGGCCCATCCACTCAAAGGCCTTGAACTTCGCGGCGGTGGACACGCTGTACGGCACCTGGTGTCTTCGGCTTCAATGGCAGGGTCCTGAATGATGAACATGCATTTGCTCTATACTTATATTTCGCAACCGTAAGGAACAGTGCTTAAAATGTCCATGCTTCTGTATAGTATAATATAGTATAATATAATATAATATAATATAATATAATATAATATAATATAATATAACGTGTCTTGGGTTCTTTAAGGTTCAGTAGGGAGGGGCTGTAGGGTTTCAGAAGACGAGGGCCGGACGAGGCGGTTTAGAACGCGGGACCGGACCTTAGGGCTTGGGGTTTAGGGTTCAGAGTTAGGGTTCAGAGTTAGGGTTTAGGGTTTAGGGTTTAGGGTTTAGGGTCTAGGGTTTAGGGTTTAGGGTTAAGAACCCAAAACCTACTTTTTTGTAGGGTCCGTATGAATCCCATATTAGGGTGTATAATAAGAACCTACCGAAAAGTGGGTTTTGGGTTCTTAAGGTAGGGTTCAGAGTTCAGAAGCTAAGCGAACGTTTGTAGAAGAACCTGGGCAAACGGCTCACCGTATGGAACTGACGCCATCTGCCCTCTGGGTTTGGGAATAGACTCTTTGGCAACATGCTAAATGCCAAGCCACCTCAGTGGCGACATCAATACAAACGACTTCGGGACATGGCCCTGTGGTAGCTTTGCTGATTGCTCTAGCGAGAAGCAAGAAATAATCACAGTCGAGATGTCCTTGTTCCGTGGCTTCAAGAAGAGGAAGCCCCAAGATTTTTTAAATTAGCCCTATTAGCTTAGCTGCCCAGTACCCTGGCCCAAAAAAGTTTAAACTTTTCTTTTAGTAGAGTTTTAATATACCCAAAAAGTTTAAAGTTTACCTATTGGGCTCCTAAGTTAGGGGCCCGAAGGGACTGAACATTGACATGCTAGCAAGTCCACCTATCGTCTGTGCGCCCTCCCACAGGCCAGGCCTCATCCTTAAAGTAAAGAACCGCCAGCTTTAGGGTTTAGGGTTCAGGGCTTAGGGTTTAGGGTTTAATCCCTAAACTCTACAATCTAAAGCCTAAACTTCCCAAAACCCTGGACTCTAGTATCCCTGCTCAGCCCTGAATCGTACACCACCATGCCTCGACACCCAATGCCTCGCTCAGGGGGCAATGGCCATTGACCGCCGGCATAACCCATGGATTCTCACCATCGCCTTTGGGTATGCTTTGGCATTGGGATTTGAGGTTTGCGATGGAGGGCTTTGAATATTGTATGGTTGGGGGATTTCGAATAATAGGAGCTTGCAAGTTTGGGGGGTTCAGGGCTGGACGCATCAGGGACCCTGGAAAGCCTGAGGGGCGACTTGGGGAAGGGGCGTTGTCCACCCAGGGGTCTACACGATAAATAGGAAAACTACAGCTTTTTCGGTTTTAGGGTTTTAGGGTTTAGGGTTGATGTTACTCCACATGTCGGCATGGCTTGCGACACACCCAACTTCTCAGCCCTGTTTGCCAGTATGAAAACACCAAATTTCCTGCCTAAAACTGTAGCCCAGTCCCAAACGGTCCTAGTACCTAGATAGTAGAATGTAGGGTTTCTACATTAGGAATCACTGTTATGCTTTGGGAAAGTCTCAACCCATATAGGTATACTCAGGATCCTAAACCCTTAACCCATATGACCCCTAAACCCTCTACCCTGAAACGCTAATCCCTAAACCACTGTACTTAGGATCCCAAACCCTAAACCCCTATGACCCCTTTAAACCCAAATCCCTGAACTACGGCACTTAGGATCCTAAGACAAAACCCTCAGGCAGCAGACTGAGGATAGTCAGGTTGGGCAAGAGGACTTCGGCCATCCTCTCACTGTCTGAAGCCTGAAGGACACAGCTCTTCAGGGGGTTCAGGGTTTAGAGTTAAGGGTTGAAGCCTGAGGACACAGCTCTTCAGAGGGTTTAGGGTTTAGGGTTTAAGCCTGAGGACACAGCTTTTGAGGGGGTTTAGGCTTTGTTTTCCCACCCGCTTCGCGGACCAAGTCGCGTTGGGCTTCTGGGGGCTTAGGCTTTAGGGCTTAGGGTTTAGGGCAGGGGAATTGGATTCAGGCTGTTAAGACCAACACTCCAATTCCCTGTATGTGTGGCTTCGCTATCCGGCTCGCGATTCAAGGCTCAGGGCACAGCTTTAATACACGCCCAAACTGCTAAAATAGATGCCGTCCGGACACACGACACAGCAACGGTCTTTGCTTTAAGGCGTGGGAACCCTAAACCCTAAACCCTAAACCCTAAACTCTAAACCACATGAAGCGGCTTCAAGCGAGAACCGGCAAGGGTTCCTAAACCCAAAGCCCTGAAACCTACATTCCTTACAATGACAGTTCTGTCCTGAGCTCAGAAAGCCATCCGATTCGGATATGGGGGTTTCCGAAAATAG